TGAATAGCAAACCACAAGAAACCACAACAACATATGAACTTGCTGGGCTGCTTCATGTTTCCATATAATACTCCATTGAAGGTCTTCAACATTCCACTTATCTCTCATAATGAGCTCATAAGCCAATTTCACATAAAAAGAATCATATTTTAATTAGGTTTAAAGTGTGATTCTACCTCTAAACTATTCATAGAGAAATAATATTATTCCTAAATTATTTATCCTAACAATATCTTTTTGAAATAATTAAACTGAAATAATATTGCCCTCGCTATTTAAAAATCATAAATATTTATTAATTGTAGCTAGTGAGATTCACTTTTCATTATCTCTCTTTAGTCAATGAATGTTTTTTATTTTTAAATGGTGGGAGCAATATTGTTCCGATTTAATTAGTTTAGAAGGGCCATTATTATGATGAATAATTTAGAGATAATATTATTTTTTAAAAAATAATTTAGAGGTAAAATTACATATTATTTTTTTTAATTATCCTTGATACTTCTTTCCCTCAAGGTCCAATGTCATGCAAAATCTCAGAAGTGGCCTTATAATTTCAAGGCGCTACATGTTGCGAAATATCCTATGTTATTTAAGACGGCCCAACTAGGTGGCCCACCCAATATTGGGTGCGTCTATTTAATTAGTATTTATTATATCAAAATCTCACGAAATTATTTGGGTTTAAGACTTAAAGTAATATTTAAGTAGTATTTAATTAGTTTGTCCTTTGGAAGTTGGAACCTTTTGTTCCATTATTTCCGTCTCTAATACGACACCAAACGAGGCATAATCAAACTCAAAGTTTGCCCAAAAGAAATTTTTAATTCCTCAAATTCAAGAATCATTCTGGTCTATGAAATATAATTTTTATCACTAAATTTCTTAAGATTTTATAATCACATACAATTAATTATTGTGATGTTATTTTCCTTTTAAACTCTATCGACCAATTGTGTAAGTTCATACAATTTTAAAAACTTATGTGATAAAAATTAAAATTTGAGGATTAAATTAATAATTGAAATAGATTTGAGAAATTAAATATTTCATTACAAGAAAAAATAAAACTCAAATCTTCCTTTCATCAAGTTGGCCATTTATCTATCTATCCATTCATCCCGCTCGACTTCATTGCACAATTATGTTGTACTTTTTATTTATTATGAAATACTCTTATAGGTTTTTGATATAAGATAAAGTTAGCAACCTTTATACTTGTCAAGAAATGTCAGCCATAACTTTGAATCTTTCTAATTCTATTAATAAGTTACTTTTAATATTTTTATCAAAATTAAGAAAGCCTTAAATCTCATTGATTTTATCTTAAAATTTAACAAGTTTTTAACTTTATTCTTATAAAATATGTTCACGTTAAAATGAAATACTTTAACATTTAATAAGCTTCATAACATTTAATAGGGATAAAATGATAAAAACAAATATAATAATTATTGAGGTGTCTTATAAATAGAATCAAAACAAATACACACTCCTGCCTTATAAATAGAATCAGAGAAAACTTGTTAAAAAAATATGTAACTTTCTAATCTTACATTTTTTTGTTATTAATAATGATAATAATAAATTATTATTTAAGAATTTAAATAACAATAAATACACAAGGGATAAAATCGACAAACAAGCATTAATTGCTCTAACTTTGTTTTATATTTATGACTAAAAAAATCCTTCACACTTTATAGTATAAAACATTTTAACTATAAAATTAGAACGTCATATAATTTCCATGTACTTGTCATATCATCATCAAATTTTTTAATAAAAGGGAAACTATTATTTTATTGGTATAATTCTTTCATTAGCTACCGGCATTTACATAAAAACCATAAAAAACACCAACCAAAATGGTCGGTCGAGGTGATTATAATTGATTTTTTTGGGGCATGAATTATGATTAGAGTTAGTGACAGATGAGATTCAAATGTGATATATTTTGTTAATTTTTTGATGTCTAAATTCAACTTCTCTATAAATAGAATTTTCTTACCAGTTCCATAAATACAGTTTAAGTTTTGGCTTTACAAAATCTGATGGTAACGCAAGGAAGATATGTACTTATGCATGTCATTTTGAGACACAAAATTAATTGCATTATTCATGACTGATATATAATATATTTATTATTACAAGAAAATTAATCATTTAATACTTTTAATCTTGACTCAATCATTTTGGTGACTGTCTTTAAAATTTAACTCATTCAAACAAAATTTCTCAAATTTCATTCATTTAATCTACTAGTTCCTACTCTTTTTACTAAGGTTGTTAAACTTGTGAATTTAAGTAAACTCATGACATAAATGTAAATTCGTATTACAAAATTGAATTATAACCTCGTAAGAATTTATTTTTATTAACAAATAGTCACTAAAATATGATTGTAATTTAGCTTAAATATATTAAAAATATAAATAATTAAAATTAAATTCATCTACATTGATAAATTATCATATACAAGACATAAAAATTTTAAAATAGGGGAACTTATTTTTGATATTTTTATTTTCTTTTTTATTAATATTAGTTTTTGCATTTTAAGTTTTTTTTTCCTTTGAACCAGGTTGTATAACTTTTATAAATTGAATTCTTCATAGTATATATTTAACTCGCTCAACTAAAAAAAAAATTAACGAACTTAATAAGTTTAACTAAATTTATATTCAATCTGAGTTTATAAATTAGTTGACATAATTTTGTAAGTTAAAAACGTAAAAATGATAAACTCGAAAGTAAACTCGCCAGCTTAACTGAGTTTGTATCTAGTCTGAATTTATGAATGAATTGATACAATTTTATAAATTAAAAATATAAAAATGTTAAATTCATCAAATTAACTCAAGAATTTAAAATATATACTTTTTACCCTCAGCTTGAAATGTGAGGAAAAATAAGGGGTGAATATTAAGAAAGAAAAGTAAAAGAAAATCATATTTTCTTGCCCTATCATTAAATTTTTTTTTTAGTTTTTTTTTTTCTCCAAGAAAGAAATTAAGGAAATCGAGAAATACTTGTGGTTTGAGAGATTTTAAGTTTGAGATATGCAATTAAATTAAATAAACATGTCAAAGCCTCAAAGGTGTTCTCGACATAATCATGGGGCTACTATTAGTAATAATGATCCCACATTTGAATCCGCATTAATTTTGGTGGCAGGTGGTGAAATCCCAATTTTCCAGGGAGATAGAGTAGGACAAAAAAGAAAGACATTAGGAGAAAGTAAGTGCGAAAATGCTATCTTTTAGTTTTATCCTTTAATTTTCTCTCATCTCTGGTTTTTCCCACCCCAAACAAAAGCATAGAAAATGTCTAATTTTTCAAGGTTGAATTGTAATTGAGCGATGAAATATAGGGAGTGACGGATTAAATGGATGAAATTCGAGCAATTGAGTTGGAGGAGTTAAATTGATAACTAAATTGTAATGACTCAAAAATATATAAAATAAATAAATAAATATTGTTATTGTTATTTTCTAATAAAAAGCCACAAAAAGTTTAACAAATAAAAAAAAGCTTCATAAACAAACTAATTTATACATTTATTAACTTTTTTAAACATATGGTTGAAGATGATCATTTAATATCTCTTATAATAAAGTCCCTAGCTTTCTTCAAAGTTTCAAAGGGGAGATGATTAAAGGTGAAATTGTATTAGATCTGAATGAGTGTAAGAATTTTAAAAAAGTCAAAATAAAAATTGACTTCGAATAACTTTTTTTTTAATAAAGTTCTTTGAGAATATCCTGAAGTCACTTTGGATGATAACGAGCAGGGTTTTAAAAACCGGACCGAACCGGTCGGTTCAACTGGTTGAACTGGAAACCGGTTCCTGATCCAGTTCGGTCGACTCTTAAAAACCGGTCAGTACAGAACCGGTCAACAACTGGTTTAACCGGTGAAAAACAGGTAAAACCGGACAAAAATCGGACCGGTTCTCATGAAATAATCAGAAAAAATAAAAAAATAAAAAATAAATTAAAATTAAAATTAAATTACATCTTTCTTGATATTTAAATGAAAAGCTTCAGTTATAATTAATATTAATTATGTATTTATCAATAAAAAATTATATTATCAAGCATCTATAATATATTTTTAAAAAAATGCATATTTAAATGTATTTTTATTTAATTATGATACATAAATTAAAAATATATTATTTTAATATCAACCGGTTCGATCTCGATTTGACCACGATTCGACTAATGAACTGTGAACTAGTGCCTCGTCCGGTTCAATGATTGGTCCGGTTTTTAAAACCTTGATAACGAGAGTATTTATTGTTAGATAGATCCTTTAACTGATTTTCTTAATTATCTTATATGAGGCCACTACAAGTGGCATTTCTATTGCTATTTACTGATCAATCAAATATCAAGTATAATCTAATTAAGATCAGGCGAGAACCATCTATCAAGAGCTATGTCTTGATTGATGGCGTACAGTTGAGCCTTAGTTGAAGATTAAGGTCATGGATCATATGTTGGGTGCACAGCGCAAGTGGAGGTGATGTGATGTCTTTGGCAAGAGCTCATGAGTCAAAATAAATGGCTTTTTTTTTTTTTGACCTGACAAAATAAATGGCTTTACGTCTCTCTTTTTCCAGATGTTTCGGTATAAATGCGCAAAAAATCTCTTCGAAGAAATGGTTCCAGTGCTCGGTCGTTGGGGAGAAAGATGGCCAAAGTCTTCGTACAGGAGATATAATGTCGTTTAACTTAAATGCCCCTAAAACGCAAAACATTAGTCATACTCATCATGTGCACAACGTACGACCCTCGTTTTGGTGGCCCTCTGCTACTTTGTCTTCATCTGCATGACTCAGGGCCCCGATCAGGTGGTACCGATGGAGAGATAAAGCGAAGGCTAATCGTACGCGACAAAATCCAAAAAACTCTTTTGCCAACTTTTTTTTTATTTTTTGGGGCTGTAATTTTGTTGAAAAGAAGCCCAATGCTATTATTCGCACGGCATTTTTTCGAAGATTCTCTGTCGTCTCGGGAATTCATCTCCAGCTTGTCTTTTCCACTTTCAGTTCCCCCCGCTTTCTGCGAACCCGGGATGAAAATTTCCATAATTTCATAGCTTCCAAAAGGGATTGTAAAGTTTTCCCCCAGAAATTCTGCAAATTATTTTCTGAGCTCGTTCTGTCAGTTTCCTTTTGGGCCAGCTTGCTCTGTTTTTCTTATTCTTAATTGCAATTGAAGAAGGAAAGCGTATAATACACATTTGTTGCGTGATTCCCGGAGATCCCGCGCGTAATTACCTAAATATATCGTCTCTTTTAATCCGAAGATAAAAACATTCTGGAGGGATTATTTTCAAAGCTTGACGTACAATTACTCTCGAAATAGAAAAACCAACTAGATTGTTAGTGGGTAAATTGAGATTTTTAATCCGTTCAATCTTTTAGTGGAAGCTGACCAGTTTCGTCAAAATTCCGGCTGCGAGTTGTTGACAGGGTAAGTCATACAAAAAGCCCGTAAAAGAAAAGGGCTGTACCTTTCCTTTTGCATATTTCCCATAATGGGGTTTGCTGAAGCGTGCTAAAGTGGATTTCTTGTAGCTGAAAAAGCCACCTTTATTGAGATAATTTATTCAATTCCGACGCCAAGGATTTGAAAGTTTGTTCCTTTTGGTTAGGTAAGACCTTGCAAGAGAATTGGGTGCTCTTGGGGCCTGAGAAACGGGGAAGTTGATATGGGTTCGTACGGAAATCTTGCAAGGAGGGCTTTGGAAACCGAGATGCCGATCATGGTTAAGGTACTCAAGAAAGTCACTTAATTTCATTTCATTTTTTAACCTTCTCTTATTTGTAAGTTGAACTTGTGAAGTTATTGTTATTATTAACAATGAATGTGGATATGAATTGTTTGTCATGTGCTTGCAGATGCAGGAATTGCTTCGAGGAGCCAAGAATGCTGTGTCCTTGGCCCAGGTTTTTCTCTCTCCGTTCCCAATGATTGTATTGTTAATGTAATCTCTCAGTGATGACCACGGAGTTAAATAGAAAAGGGAAACGTTTTTTAATGGTTTTGGTTTCCAATGTCTGATTATAAACTAACCTAGCTAGCTTGGGAGTCTGGTGTAATATGGTGATACCGAGAAATGATAGTTCTTACGACTTTCATACTACTACTCAAGAACAGGGCGGGTTTGGTGGAGGGTTTTGATGGCGGTGTTCGAAACTTGTGCAGTCTTATATTATAAATCTGTTGCGACTTTGAGGCAGTTTAAAAGATGCTTTCTGCACTTATAGGCCACATTTCTTGGATGATATAATTTGAGTTAGAATGGCATGATCATGAAAATTTTGCCACCTTATTTCCTAGGAGGTAAAAAAAAAAAAAAAAGCATGCTAAATGAAAAGAGGCAAATTAGAAAAGCATACAAGAAAGCGTTATCATGTCAATCATTTTGGGCTACTTAGCCGGAACTATTATTGTTGAGGCCACTCTGGATAAGTTGTCAAAGGCAATTTCTGCCTAAATTAGACGCTGAAAATTTATTGAGGACCAGAATTGTTTAATATAATATTGTAATGCTTTGCTAAAGTACTAAAAGTTTGCAGACTTTAAATTTAATATTGTAAGCTGAAAGTCGAAGTAATGCAACCCTGATTCTGGGTCTGTTTTTAACTAACCTCTGTATGTGGGTCTGCATGTTTTAAGTTATCAAAAGGAGCTTTCTCAACAGCTTTTATTGCTCTGACTGCTGAAAGTATTTGGCTAGTTTTTTAATTTATTATTTGCCTTTGTTGTGTCTACAATCTTTAACAGGCTAAATGAAATTTCTCTGCTGCAGGGGGTGGTTCATTGGCAACCTCCAAAGCAAGCATTGGACAGGGTGAAAGAACTTGTATGGGAGCCTTCAATTAGTCGCTATGGTGCTGATGATGGTATTCCTGAACTTAGAGAGGCATTAATCAGAAAGGTAAACTGCTAAACTGGTCAAGTTTTATCCTCCAAATTGCGCCTAGAAGACTATGCCTATTTGATTGGATATCGTCGTTTGAGAATGGGGGCATTATTTTGTTTTGTTCTATTCAACATATAACCTTTTTGAGTCATATGCGATATTTTCTTCTACCTTAACTTGAATTGATAATTTATGGATCAAAGAGTAGATATGATCAAGCTGAGGTGATTTGTGATATCTTGAGGGATATATTAAAATGTTTCATTATTTAGAATCCATAACATTATATTCTGGCGACATGTGAGACTGGAAAGATATTTGATAGATACTTACTGGTAATTTTTGAATATACTAATGGGACATGGATATGAATCAATTATTAATTTGAATTTAGGAAGAAAAATTCACCCAGTGTTAATTTTATTCAGCTTTGGCATAATTGATTACATTGGGATTGAGTTGATCAATTCTGCAGTTCAGGATCAGGCCTTTGCCTCTGAATTTGTTGGGGTTTAGTTTAGATGGGATGCTTAGCTCTCTCAATGTTTGGTTTTTGTTTGCTTTATATAATTGTCGCAAATTGCTTTGTGTTTTGGACTTTTGATTTGCTTGTTTCTTTCTTTGTTCACAGTTAGATCGTAACTCTTTCTCATAGCTTCCAATACAGACAAACTTTTACCTACAAAGATCATTTCATTGTGTTATAACCGGCCTTGTTCCAGTCAGTTTTCTCCCATCATCTATGTTTTGAATAAGCCTTTCCCCCTCTTCTTTATTATTTATTCAACGTGAATGGCTTTTGTTATATGGCTTTTTGCATTCTTATTGCACTCAGTTTCTGAAATTTAGTAAATCTGAGAATGGATCTTGGTTATCATTTCAATTGGTTCTTCTGTTTTGTTTTGTTTTGTTTTTTTTTTCAATGCAGTTGCATCGTGAAAATAATTTGCAGAAGTCTTCAGTGATGGTTACAGCTGGTGCAAATCAGGTGACTAATGGCGCCTTATTATATAATTTTACCTGTATGCTCAGTATTGTTATCAGAACAGAAAAAGAGAGCACATATGGTTTTTGAAGAAAAGGACATGACAAGTATTTGACTTCCATAGACTTCGTATGCTTACTCATTATAAGTGTACTGGTGCCTTGCTTGTTGTCACCTAAAATTTGATATTTAACCATCACATTTTAGCTGCTTTTGCTTGCTGTATTATTATGGCGTCTTGAATGGGCCTTGGACCTAACAGGAGAGGGAGGGCTTTCTGTAACCATCACGATGAACTGTACTGTACCTTGAGCTGTTCAATTCATCATTAGTGTTAGCTATAATTGAATATTTGATCTTGTAATTTATGACCAATGATTATTTACTGAGCACCCATAGCTTTACTTGACCGGTGTAGTTTCTATCTTTCAACCAAAGTGGTACTCATTCAATGATATCTGCAGTATTAACACCTAGTGCAAATGCAGGCCTTTGTGAATTTAGTCCTTACACTGTGTGATGCGGGGGATTCAGTGGTTATGTTTGCACCTTACTATTTCAACTCCTACATGTCCTTCCAGATGACTGGCGTCACCAATATACTTGTGGGTCCTGGTGACCCCAAAACACTTCATCCAGATGCAGGTAAGAATTCTGATAGAGCATACTCTTTCCTGTGATTCTATTTATATTTAAGTCCAAGTAGTACATGCTAATGAGAAACTATCCGCACAAAGCAGTCTCTTATTCTTGCTGCAAAAATTGTGGATGACCAACTTATTATTAAGATCTTTGACATTAGTCTTAACGTACAGTTCCTTCTGCAATTTTGTTCTTTGTTTTGTTTTTCAGATTGGTTGGAAAGGATATTATCAGAAACTAAACCTACCCCAAAGCTTGTCACTGTTGTTAATCCGGGCAACCCAACAGGAACCTATATTCCAGATCCTCTCCTTAGGGTTTCCCTCTTCACCTCTTTGACTGCAATATTTGTTACTGTTCTGATTTTGTCAAAAAATTTGGGATTTTCCATTCCAGTTTTGTCTTTTTCACTTTCTTTGGAAGTTTCTAATGCAACCATGTGTTTGATATATGGTTTCTAGTATTTGTCTTTGTTGGCTAAATTGTGCAAGGAATTTAAAACTGACCCCTGAATTTTTTTTTTTTAAATTTCTGAGCAATTTGCTTTCTCTTACTTCGCCAGAGGATTTCGGATCTTTGCAAGAACGCTGGCTCTTGGCTTGTTGTTGATAATACATATGAGTAAGTTTGTAATGCTACAATCATAACGGCAGTAATTTTATTTTATTTCTTTGATGGTTGGCAAAAGTGAATAGAAAGAATGTCAAGGATATCACAGTCTTGTACATATTTGCCATGTTTCTGAATATCACCGAGACATTATACAGAGTCATACTGTTCATGAAATGCTAAATCATTGATTCAGTTATGGTGATATTCATCAAGGGTTGTCTTGAAGATTCTCTTACTAATGTCTCTAAACCTTTCACTTGCATTGCAGGTTTATATTCTAATTGTTTCTTCTATGAATAAAAATATGATACAGGTATTTTATGTATGATGGTCTGAAGCACACTTGTGTTGAGGGAAATCACATCGTTAACATTTTCTCTTTCTCAAAAGCGTATGGAATGATGGGGTGGCGTGTGGGATATGTAAGAATTACTTCTTATACGTATAATTATTTTCATTAGCAGGTGACAAAATCATTGAAGTTTGTATGACTATTTCTGGTGAACATTGGATTTCCTGATGGGTTGACCATACCGATATTCTTTATTGTCTTCAAAGTGATTCTGCTTGGAATTTTGGAAAAATATAACTTTTGATTCCTAAACTTTTTCTCGATTATTTAGTCTCTGAACTTTGTAACTTAGAACAACTCATTTTCTACGGTTTCTGGACCTAAAACAACCCAGTCTCCTTAGTTTCTTGATTTGGAACAACTTGGTCCTTATAATCCTTTAACTCAATGAACTAAAAGGATAAAGTTGTTCTAAGTCAAAGTTCAGGGATTGAATTGATAATTGAGAGAAAGTTCAGGGGCTAAAAGTCATATTTTTCCTAGAATATTGATAATTGAGAGAAAGTTCAGGGGCTAAAAGTTATATTTTTCCTAGAACTTTCAAGTTTTAAGAAGTAATTTACGTCTCCCAAGTCTGCAACCTCAAAAATTATGTTCTGGGTTGGTAATTTTCAGAAGCTGCTTGTGATATATTCTTTTAGTTACTTTTTTCTGCTGCAGAGAACATAAGCTTTCATAGGTTTGTTAATGCTAGCTAAAGGAACTCTAGACTAATATTATTTGGTTGTTGCAGATAGCATATCCATCTGAAGTAGAAGGTTTTGCTGCCCAGCTTCTCAAAGTCCAAGACAACATTCCGATCTGTGCTTCGATTATCTCACAGCACCTCGCTCTTCACTCATTAGAAATGGGTCCTGAGTGGGTTACAGAGAGAGTACAGGGTCTTGTGAAGAACCGGGAAATCGTTTTGGAGGCGCTGGCCCCTCTTGGCGAAGGTTCTGTAAAAGGAGGGGAAGGAGCTATATACTTATGGGCAAAGCTGCCAGATGGCCATGCTGACGATTTCAAAGTCGTTCGCTGGCTTGCTCACAAGCACGGGATTGCTGTTATTCCGGGAAGCGCTTGTGGGTGTCCGGGGAATCTTCGCATTTCATTTGGAGGCTTGACAGAGAATGATTGCAGAGCTGCTGCAGAAAAGCTCAAGAGAGGCTTGGAAGAACTTGTTAAAGATGGTTTAGTGTAGTAGTGTCCTTGATAGCTTTCCAATCCTTGATAGCTTTCCAAGCCAAGACTAATATTATATCGAAGTGAACAATGATAGAAAAAAATTCAAGAGCAAAATCCATTTCATAGTGGATTTTAAATAATTGAGGAATTTACTCTCTACCTGGCAAAGCTTTAAGAGTAGCCAGGATTTGTCATGTCATTATCATTTTTCAATGGATACTGAAACATGCAAAATTTGTTCTATGCTTCCTCAGAGGGTTAACTTCTAGCGTGGCTGATAGAGTTCTGCACTAAGTTTGCAATTTGTTGACATCCCCAGTTTCATATGAAGATGAAAAGCTTATTTGTCCTTGCCAATAAGCCAATGAATGGTTCACACAATATCTTTACCTTGTGTTGTTATTTATTAACTTGTTCTCCCCAAAAATAAGGATTGAAATTTAAGTTGATTATTGAATTGGTTAAGATATTATGTTAAAGGTTAATGGTTAAAATTGAGGTTAAACTGATAATGAACAAAGTATTTTATTAAATTAATCAAGGTGCTGTGCTAATGGTTAATTGGTTTAGCTGATCAAGTGGATCCATATTTCAACACTGGAAAAATGAGTGTTTTGCCATGTCACTGCATTATTGCGGTCTGTCATGTTTATGACGTGCTTAAGGATATAAGTCCAAATATGTGACAATTTTTGTATCAGGAGTGTGCTGCTTATTTCTTGTTATGAATGCTTATAATTTGATTGCATGTTACGTGTTTGGTTACAACAATACATTGGCCAAAAAAGGTTGGTACGTGGTCATCAAATTATAACGTTGGAGAGTGCTAGCAACATCAAGAAAGATTATAGCAGCCAACCGTTGGTAGTAATTTCAGTTTTGCTTTTTTTTTTTTGGCCAAAGTGCTTTCAGTTATGCTGAAGAATCTCTATGCTGTTTGATCTATAAACTCAACAACTTTTGGATTTAATATTTCAAATCGAAAGAAGAACGAGGCCGAAGAAAGAGAGAGAGAGAGAGAAAAAAAAAGAAACTTGAAAAAGAAATGAAAAAGGGTAGAGATATGCATAATGGGGTTGGGTACACTGGGCCACGTAACGTTGCAACGTGATTTCAGTTATGATAAGCAAAGTTGTTGCTGGCATGTGGGTCCAACCCAACGACTCTGATCATTCAAGCACGAGTGCGCCATACGTGTTTCTGTGAATATCCGAAGGTGTTAGGGACAATTTCGTCATTTCATTCACTTTCCCTGTCCGTTCCTCGACGTTTAAACGCCGCCGTCGAACTCCTTCTCTCCTCACTGCTTTTTCACAGCGAAGGGGGGAAGAGGGAGAGGGAGCATCTGGGATCCGTTGAGGTTATAGTTTTCATATGATCTCACAGTTTTTTTGAACTAAAAAGTTGTTACCTTTAGGGTTCCTTTGAATAAATCTGAGAGAAGGAAAAATGGGAGGGACCTCATTGGCGGGCTTGCAAGAGCACATCAAATTGGCGAGAGACTACGCTCTTGAAGGACTCTATGACACCTCTATCATCTTCTTCGATGGGGCAGTCGCACAGATCAACAAGTATTCTTTCTTCCCCCCGTAACTTATTTCTAGGTTATTATTTTATATTTTATTGGTTTTATTTTCGTATGGTTCAACGGTCAGTGACCTTGAAACGTTCGGATTTGTTGAATCTTTTTACCACTTCGCGAAAATGGCAATTTGGTTGGATTGTTCAAATTATGTTTATCAGGGGATTTTTTTTTTGGCGGATAATCATCTTGTGAAAGAGAAGAACTGGCGAATGCATTAAGAAAAACTTCTGGATTTAAGCATATCGTAATTGCTACGAGCAATTGCAGCATCATTTGACGTTGTAATCCTCGAAGTCTTTGGCTTTGTGACTGATTACAGGGCCATCACCATAAATTAAAGTTTCCAAGTGCTTATTATTGCATCATTTTGAAGCACTGATAACGAGTATTTGAAGGACATTCATAGATTTATTAGGACACGTGTCTTGATGTTAATTGGGTTTGAAACATAATGTTGGTTATCACGTAATTAAGTTAGTTTGGTGGTTTGAATTTCTTTCCACCTGTTGAAGATTGAACTATGATTTCAGGCACCTAAGCACCGTTGATGACCCTTTAGTTCGGACAAAATGGATGAATGCTAAGAAAGCCATTTCTGAAGAAACAGAAGTTGTAAAGCAACTAGATGCAGAGAGGAGGGCTTTTAAAGAAACCCCTACTGGTAGACGACCTCCTTCACCTCCGATATCTACTAAATCGTCATTCGTTTTTCAACCATTAGATGAGTATCCAACTTCATCAAGTGGTCCCATGGATGATCCTGATGTCTGGAGGCCACCCAGTCGAGATAATACAAGTAGAAGACCCACAAGGTCTGGTCAAGTGGGCACTCGGAAGTCACCACAAGATGGGACTTGGGCTCGAGGCTCTACAAGAACAGGTACTACTGCACGAGGGGCAAAGAGTGGCGCTACAAGCAGGGTTAACTCAGGAGCCCGGGCATCAACGACTGGAAAGAAAGGCACAGTTTCCGGAAAGTCTAGCAAGGCTGATTCAGTTGTAAGCTCTATAAGGCAATCTGATTGGCACGATTATTTTGTTTTGTTTTTTCTTTTTTTATCATTTCTGTTACTCGAATATGGATTCTTCTACAGAATTAAGTATGGAAATTCATTGTTCATGGATATGATTTCTAATTTAATTGTCAATGGATTCGATATAATATTAATAATTTGATTTCCACTTTCCATGAATAGCCTGTTTGTAGGATATTTTTTCTCTTAAAATATTCCTCACGTGTGAGCAAGTGATGTTTAAAGCTAGTTTATATATGGTCACAAATTTTCCTCTCAAGTTTTCCAGTGTTGAATCGAATCGAATAATTGGTTCAATGGTTAATTCTCTCTTAAGCTGGTTTATATGAGCTTCTTTTTCTTTCTCTTCTCTTCTAATATGTAGATTTTTGTAGTATATAGGAAGTTTGGGGCCTGCATCAGCATCAAAAGTTATAAGCATTGCTTCTTGCTAGACTTTATTCTATTTTTTGTCTATATATGAAACATCAAGGAATAGGGTATTATTGGACAGATAATGTCCTCGGTTCAGCCAGTTTTAAAAACATTTAATCTCAGATATTTACTGCTCGGTTCTCACAATTTGTTTACTTAATGGATAGAATGGTGATGCTGAAGATGGTAAATCAAAGAAAGGACAATACGAAGGTCCTGATCCTGACTTGGCTGAGATGCTTGAAAGGGATGTGTTAGAAACATCTCCTGGGGTAAGATGGGATGATGTTGCTGGGCTAACTGAAGCTAAAAGACTTTTAGAAGAAGCTGTTGTGCTTCCGCTGTGGATGCCTGAATATTTCCAGGTACATTTTTAATCCTGAATTCTCCAAATTTTGGCATGTTGGAATTGGAATCATACATGTCAATTTTGGTATGAGATTTTGTCCATGTATGAGTGATAAGTTGGTATCCCGTTGCAAAATGATTCTTTAACTTGTAATAATTGTGGCAATCTGGTGAAATATGATTGCATAAAATATGCTATTTGATTCAAATATCTTTGTTTGTGCAGTCTCAGGAAATAAGTATATGCAGATAAATTTCTTTTGCTGAATCAAAAACTCACGAGACATGCTAAAAGTTGTACTAAAGTTAACTGAGATTTTTTTTTTTTGACCACGTTAACTGAGATTTAACTGGCCTAATTTTTTAAGCTTTATTGTATCTCACATATGAATTTCAGTTGCTAATCTTCTCTTGATTATTCTATCTATAAAAATAAAACATTTGATCTATACTGTGAAGCTTATGATTTATATGCTTGCAGGGAATTAGGAGACCATGGAAGGGTGTTCTGATGTTTGGTCCACCAGGAACTGGGAAGACCCTGCTAGCTAAAGCCGTTGCTACTGAATGCGGGACCACCTTCTTCAATGTTTCCTCTGCTACTTTGGCTTCAAAATGGCGTGGAGAAAGTGAGCGGATGGTGCGATGTTTGTTTGATCTTGCAAGAGCCTATGCACCAAGTACAATTTTCATTGATGAGATTGATTCCCTATGCAATGCTCGTGGGTAAGTCTTATTATTTTTCAAGTGTTCGTCTCATTTAACAATTATAATTAAACAAAGTCGCTGCTTTGGAAAAGTAGGTAATAAAGCAAAAGCACACCCTGGGATAGGCCGCCACATGTAATAGCTTTTTCTGAGCACTTTCCCAACATAATTGATTTTTTGTCCTTGTTTGTGGCACATACACCTTATTGTTGTTCTCTGCTTTGCATCTGGTTCAAGGAATAAAGGATTAATGTTGCTTCTGTCACATTACCCGTTGACCTTAGAGTAATATAGAACTAATTGAGCCCTCTTGTTATTCTTGGACTTGACCCCTGATTGAATTAGTTTTTCATTTTTACTTCAACAGGGCATCTGGTGAGCATGAATCTTCTAGAAGAGTGAAGTCTGAACTTCTAGTTCAGGTTGATGGTGTAAATAATAGTTCCACAAATGAGGATGGGACCCGGAAAATAGTTATGGTTTTGGCTGCCACTAACTTCCCATGGGACATAGATGAGGCACTAAGGTTTGCACGCCCTGTTTCCTTTTTATACTTAACATGATTAGTTGTCACTGATAAAAAAAATAATAACTGGTATCTAGTATTAGTAATAAATTTCATTAAGAAATTCTCTTTTGAGTGTACTGGTCTACTCTTGCTGATCCCATGTGATCTCAATAAAATGCAGGAGAAGATTGGAAAAGCGTATATATATTCCTCTTCCAAATTTTGAGAGCCGTAAAGAGCTTATCCGGATCAATTTGAAGACTGTAGAGGTTAGTGGAGATCTAGCATTACTATCTTTGCTTATATTGATGGAGTTCCTTATATATTTTCTTTTAAGATATCTCTATTCCACACTCACATGTATACATTTCTTAGTGGTTTAAGAGCTTTAACTTATACGAGTAGAGTTTCTTTCTTGATATCTCAGCCATCATGTTTTATGTTAAAATTTGAGTTTTCCTGAGTCTTTATTGGGACAAAAAGGTTTTGGTTTGTGATTATCATCAACTCGTGGTTAATGAAAATAGCCTGTAGAAATGATAGCAGATTCATTGATGCTAACAAACACTTAAAAACTTTGGGAAGGCTAATGAAACCTGTGCTGGATCAGGTGGCCGCTGATGTAAATATAGATGAAGTGGCTCGCCGGACGGAAGGCTATAGTGGAGATGATCTGACAAATGTCTGTCGCGATGCTTCGTTGAATGGTATGAGGCGTAAGATAGCCGGGAAGACTCGGGACGAGATCAAGAACATGTCAAAAGATGAGATTTCAAAGGATCCAGTGGCCATGTGTGATTTTGAAGAAGCTCTGGTTAAGGTGCAACGAAGTGTTTCACAGGCTGACATTGAACGTCATGAGAAGTGGTTTGCTGAATTTGGATCTGCATAATGAGGTTAAAACTGAATGACACCAATTTTATTAGTTCTTCGGCTGTGTGATGGTTTGTCTTTATATTGATGTTCATTTGTGGTCTCGAAGGTTGCATTTGTAATTTTCGAGTTCGAGAGAATGGCCTTCTGTTGTATCTGTAACAACCATTAATATAACTAGCGTTTACTTTCTTGTGTGCGACGAACGGTAAGAATATTTGTAAATACATTGATGCCAGTTAAAACAACATAATCCAGGTCAAAAAAGTTAAAATAACATAATGAATCACAATTTCGGCGGAAAAACTGGAGACATCAATTCTATGAATCGTTGTATAAAGATAGTATGCTTCTAACATATTCTTTTCGTTTAAAAATATAAAATATTTTTTGCATAGTTGAATGTTTAAAAATATAAAATGTTTTTAATTTTTTAAGGTATAATTATTAATTTTTTTTAAAAAATACCTTTATGAAAATGACTTTATATTTATAGTAGGGTGTTAATAGGGATAAGTATGAAAAGATTAGATTAATTTAAAAATAAGTAATTATTTTATTGAGGAGTGGGATTTAATTAAAAATATTTTATATTTTTAAATAGAAGAAATATAATTTTAAAATATTAAGTAATTTGAAGACGGCTGGTGGCGGCAATCTCAACAAAGATTTGTATGGCTAAAATCGAACTATATTGGATATATGTGAGTGTCTGCTTTTACTCTCAGCCATTGCTATAATCGCCTCTCATTATTATTTATTACTTTCTCGTTTTCTTCCCTTGAGCCACGGTCACACAAGCGTGGAGAAATTAAGGCGACAAATTGATTACAAAAATTTGTCACCATTTTTTGTTTATTTTGTTGCAACAAGTTATATTCTCAGTTGGCCTTTTTCTAACAAAATGATTTGTTTTTTTCCCATGTCTATTTAGCTAACTCATGAATCCATTATACTAAAACTAATTTAATTGGATGAAGAAACGATATTACCCAATTGATTTTGCATAATCAAACTGATGATGGTGTCTTTAACTACTTAAAGGGCAACAACTTGTTCATGGTTGTAGAAAAAATTTGCTAGTCCGATGACATCAAACAAGAATATGAAATTTTAGGAACTTTAACTGATAAAAATTAAACTTTATAGACTAATAGATAATTAAGATAAATTTAAAGAACCAATAGTTTTATTATTCCTATCCTTATACCACTCGAATTTTAGACTTCATTTAATGAATATGATTTATTTTTTTTCCACCTGATTCAACCGGCGATGGTTATGAAAATATATACCATACAGAGCCACGTTACTGTAAATCGCATAGAAATTGCAGCTACTGCTTTCTTGAAAAACTATGCATATCGATCAGCCCAATTAGAAGAAATTAAATAAGAGACAAGAAGTACATAAGGTCAATTGAATTAGTCCTCCTCGCAAGTCTTTCTTTTTCTGTAATAATCAAATAGCTATGACAAGAAAGAAAGAAAGCGTCTCTCTCTCTCTCTCTCTATATATATATATATATATATATCTCTAGTACTTTCTTCATGCTTATATATATCTATATATATACTGTATATCAAACAGCATGTAATGGTTGAAATTATATATATTCAGGGAAGCGGTCAATGGTACAACATGGGTACTTTTACTGTTACGGTTTTGTTCAGCGTCGTCTTCACCAGCAGCCTCGTACTGTCCAACCCATTACAAGGTAACCACCTCTGCTCTGTCTAAGGATATATGAAGGGAAAATAATGATAATAATAATATATGCAGATGAATCATGCAAAGGTTTGTTCTGTGGAGAAGGAAGATGCAGAAGTGTAGAGGAATTCCCATTCGTGGAATGCATCTGCAATCCTGGGTGGACCAATTTTAACAACATCTCTTCCCTCCCTTGTGTTCTTCCCAACTGTCAGTCTTCTTCTTCATCTCATCCTCATTTATATAAACTCTGTGTTTGCAAAGACAAGGACTTATAATTATATACATGAGAAATGAATCGCAGGCACTGTTAATCATCGCTGTGGAAATGGAATTCCACCACCACCACCACCACTGTCGCCGACTCCTCCATTTCAACTGCCCAATGTTTCTGACCGTGAGCTCCTCAATTTTATGTTGATTCTTGATATTATATATGTTTGTGTGTGTTCATATATATATATATATATATAAGCATGCAGGAAAAATAATGAGATACTAAATGGAAACTGATGATATGGTTTTTATCGGTACGAATGTGTGATTAATGAATGAATGAACAGCTTGCTGGATCAACTTTTGTGGGGCGGATGGAAGCTGTGTGAGGGATGGCTCTGATTTCAAGTGCCAATGCTCTCAAGGCTCCGCTAATTTCCTCCACAATCCTAAGCTACCTTGCTTCAAGAAATGTATGTCTCTGTTTACATACTTGTTCTATTCATCACAAATATGGGTGGTTACTTGTTCCATACATACAGTACTAGTATGTCTCCGTATGCATACTATTATTATATTTCATGGGATAACAACATACGATGAGCATCGTTGAAATAGGATATTGACATAAAAGTCCCAGAAATTGAGTTAATTACATTGGAATCTCTAGGTCCTTCTTTGATATTAATTAATTTTCCTCATCAAATTACTATATTGTCCATATTTTGAAATTACAAAGAGCTCAATGACAAGCTAAGTATGACGATTTATAATTTTGATTGACTAATGATAACCATAAATTCATCAGTCACTTGGAACTTAATGACAAAGTTCAACATGATATGTAACAGCTTTGATTTGAAGCCAACTGTTATTCAGAGGGTCAATATGGCAATTTGGCAAGAAAATTTTGATGCTGGAAGGGTCAATGTAATTAGCTTTCGCTGGACTTCTAAGTCAACACCCAATTTCATTGGTCCTCCTATGTCATTCTCCCTTTTAAAATTTAAGCAGCCAGCAGCATTTTGTGATATTTTATTACTGCATAATTTCTATATATGTTCATGTCATAATTTATTGTAATAAATTTTCCTATTTTGTTCAAGAATAAATTTTCTATATTTGATATGAATATACAAAACATATTTTTTTTTTCTTGATTTTTTGAAGGCAATTTAGGCGCAGATTGTAAAGGTCTTGTTGATGTTGGGTTTAATCAACCTGCACTAGCCCCTCTCGCAAATTCCATCTCCCCAACTGATGGTAATTATACTACAGCAATGTCCAAAACAAATGATCTCAAATTCGCACTACACACACACACACACACACACAACATTTCATGTGATTGAATAATCTGACGTTGTACGTGTAATGAATGAAGATGATGATAAGGAAGAAGAAGAAGAATCAGAAGAAGGGGGATTATTATGTGGAGTGGCCTTCTGTGGGGAAGGAAGATGCCAAGGTTCAAAGGAAGTCCCATTTGTGGAATGCATTTGCAATGAAGGCTGGACCAACCTTAATCAGGATACTCACTACCCTTGTGTTCTTCCCAATTGTCTGTCTTCTTCTTCTTCTTAAAGTTATTCATGTGTGGGTAAAATTGAACCAATGTGAGACTTTTCATTTTAAATAAAGTTGAGCTTAATAAGTGATACAAGATGAAGAGGAAAGATCTATAAACTCAAGATTTTCAGGGAATATGTGGTTTTTCCTCTACTCTTTATCTCTGTGTCTTTCATTACAATAATATGCTGAAGGCATGAATTGTTGCAGGCGCGGTTGGTTTTCAGTGTGGAAATGGAAGTGCGCCGCCGCCTCCACGGCCACTTGTGGGGCTAAATATTTCTGACCGTATGTGTGAGCCGAGGGCATTAATATTATTGTTGATGATTATGATTCTGAAAAAGAAGAAAATGATGATATAATTAAAGAATGAATGAATGCAGCTTGCAGGATCAATATTTGCTGGCCGGAGGGAAGCTGCGAGAGAGAAGGTTCTGATCACAAGTGCCAATGCTCTGATGGCTCCGATAATCTTCTCGGCAATCCTAAGCTTCCTTGTTTCAAGAAATGTACGCTTCTTCTTCTTCATAATTCTCTTGACCTGCATCTTTCCCTAAGCTACAATGGAAAAAATGACAGTTGCAGACCCTGTTATCAGAGAATTGATTATAACGGGAAATACATGTAAGCCTAACCCTTGAGCCCGATTATATATTTTTATTTTTTTTAAGGCCCGACCTTTATATAAAAGGCTTAGGACTGGGCCTACAAACTTTGTTAAAAAAAAATAAAAAAAATTAAAATAAAATTAAATATTATAAATTAAGTAAGATATTTTAAAATTTAAAAAATTAAAATTCACACAATATTTTAAAAATTAAACAACATATTTAAAAATCTAAACAACACACATTCATCAATCAAAATTTAAATCTTCATTATTCTCATCATCTATGAATAAAACATTAGATCCCTCAGATGTAAATGTACTTATTGAAGATGGAGGTAAAAATTCAATATCAATTACCTTTCCAACTTCTTTTTCATTACCTACAATAAATATTAATCAAATTGTGTCATTATCAATCAAATATATATATATATATATATATGTATGTGTATATACATACATACATACATACATACATACATATATATATATATATATATATAAAAATAATCAAGCTTATCAGGGCTTGAAGGGCCGCCCGAGCTCGAGTTTTTGTCATAGGGCTTATCAGGGCCAAGCCCTCAAGCCCGATTTCTTTAAAAAAATAATTTTTAAAGCCCAAACCCTTATTTAAACAGGGCCTACAAGCCCGATCTTTATTCTTGACTCTAGAATTGATGACAATTGCAAACCTCTTTTACTAAATTCTTTTGTTGCAATTAGAAATGGCTTCATTATTGGACAAGAATGCCCCTTTGGCTAGTCACTTGTGAATCTTTAGAAAATCAGTTAGAAATTGATAAATAGTCATTTTTAAATTTAGTCCAATTAATGATAAAGTCACTTTTAATTTTAACAAAAGACCTCGGTCCCTCTGTAAGATTTTTTTTTAAAAAAAATTAGAAGTTTGTAATTGTCGTTAATCTTCCATATTATATATGTGTGTCAGTGTGTGTATCCCTGTACATATATGTGTTTATATGTTTTGATTCTTTTATTTTAACAGGCAGTTTAGGAGCAGATTGTAACGGTCTTGGTCTTGGGTTTAATCAACCTCCGCCTTCACCACCACCTCCTACAAAATCTGACTCTCCAACAAATGGTAATTAATCTTACAACCACACAAAATCAAAATTAATCTTGTTGTTAAGGATGCAAATTATATATCACAATAGTATAATGTCACCAACAGGGTTGAGTTTAATAGAAGTGACTATTTTTTTATAATATGATGAATTAATGTCCGAATCTTTATTGAAAAAGATGTTCACATTTAATACCTGACTCAACATCAAATATGATTAGGATTTTGATATAGTGAATGATCCATAAATACTTGAGAAAATAACAGTTAGGGCCCAGAATATTGAATTAATTACAGTTAAGTTCATGACAATTTTTTTTAAAAAAAAGTTAAAAATATCAATTCAGATAATTATAAATATAGGAGTCTCAATTGCAAATAAATATTTAAATATCAAATATAACTCTTGAATTACGATAACAATTTATACTTATAATTGTTTTGAACTAATATTTATTATTCATTTCTTAAAGGATTTTATCAGAGACCTAATTGTTATTAATGTTTTTTGGGATCTAGGTGTTATTCTCCCTAGATACTTTTTAAGTTGCTCTATCTTCATCAAATAAATGACCAGGACTCAAGGATGAAGACAACTTTATCTCAAATTCGCACTTCAATTCAATTTTTTCCCAGCCACTGACATCACCTCATATATATTACTCTGTTTTTATTAATTAATAATAAAAATTTGTGGACAGCCCAAGGAGATAGGTTTGGGCCTGCAAGCTATCAGATAATAGTGGCCCAATTTGAAAGCTAAACTTCGTCATATCCTGTGGTTGCAACAAAAAACTTTCTACCATAAAAAAAAAAGAAAAATTCATGTGATTTTAGTTTTTATGATGAATCTGCAGTAAATGTAAGTACTGATTGAATTTGTTTTGTGTTACAGGAGACATGGTGAATGAATTAGGCAAACTCTATATGCCATCTGTGATAGTATTAGCAGCCCTAGTACTAATTAATTAGCATATGATGATCAAATACCAATCAGCATATATCATCATTTACTTATGAGATAATAAAATTTTAATCATTCAATTTTACTTCAATTATCAATTTGGTTGTTCAACTTTAGTTTTTATTGATCTAATTCCTTACATTTTCTTAATTAAGTTACTATGCTAGTTATTTAAATTTAAAAAACACAAAATGTCTCCCAAATTAATCTAATAACGTGTGTTAAGGTATATATGTTGATAACTTGACATATGATTTTCTTAGTTTCCCTTATTTCATGACTTGTGAGGAAAGAATGGAGGCTATGGTCAAGAGTAGATAACCACAAAAATTGAATATGTTTATAGAACAAAAATATTCCTATTTAATTTATAATAAGTCATATTTCACCAATTCACATAAATCAAGAAAGTTAGTTAAAATTAATTGATTGTTTTAAAATTACTCTACCTTTTCACAAATAACCGTTATCAAATGTAAATTCTTAATCAGATCTCTCAATTATCCCTCTCCCCGCCACTTACTTAACAATATTCATGTCAAGGGAACTATCATTAGAAAACAATATTAATTGCTTTATAGATTTTACAAAATGAATCATTTAAATCAGAGCATAAAAAAATTCTAGAATATATGGCTTATAAATATGTAATAAAGTTCACGTACAAACTTACTTTTTCTCTCCTATAAGACTATAGATTATATAATTGGTGAGAAATGTGAATGTGCTTGTCTTTTACTTAAGGCAATTTGGAAAGTGAATAATGCTGTAACTATAGCAACTTTGGACGGTCTTTGTTGGGTACGATGTCTTACATATGATTCGTGAAATGAATATAATAAATAAATGTATAGATGCTTTCGCTTTGCTCTTGTTTTTGTCTCACCAGATAGAGGCCATGCATATTCATGCACCTTATTTATTTCTCTCTTGTTTCCGTTTCACTTTGTACTGTAGAATTAACCATGTGTCCAATGAAGCTAAGTTGTCTCATCCAACAATGTTGCATGCACTTGATTCGTGTATTGTCTTGTCTCTCGACCACCACTTATTAATTTGCCGTGTTTTTCTTGTTGTCTTATTTTTGAAAATGTCCATGCATGCATGTTCGTTCACCGCCATGATCTCTGATCTGTACTCAACAAGTATTAATTACTCAAGACCCTCAGTGAGCTGAACTGAATACCTTGGGAAAGTCATCTGCACACGTATCTATTTATGCTCTTTTGTTCTTTCTCTTGTCTCTTTATTTCTTGTCAATTATACTTGTTTTTTTTTTAATATTATGCGAAAAATTTTAAATACGAATCATTTCGTTTAAAAGTCTGGTGATTCTTCTTTTGAATGTTATATTATATATTTATATATTGAAAATTATATGAAGGAAATAGTTACACAAAGAGAATATAATGATGGAAAAATGAACGTACTGTATCAAATGGATGAATGATCTCTATTTTAAAAAAAAAATCTAAAAACAAAGAATCATAAAAACAATTTATATATTTTTTCTTAAAGAAACGGAAAACAGAAATATTTTAAAGCTGTAATCTTTGGTTTTTCTTTTTTCAAAATACATTACACTTGATTATTGAAAACTACAACAATCAAAACTACTATATTTACAAAACAATTTTTTTTTAAATATAATGGAATACACAACCAAACAAGACCTTAAATTGTTAGATTCAGAGGTATTATAAGATAACCTATACTGTTAACATTCAATTTGAACAATTAAGATTCACAGTAAAAGAGAAACTGTTTAGTAATTAGTTGCTTTCAGGCATTTGTCAAGAAGCATAATAGCAACCACCAATCATACAATCCTACACCAAAATATGCGTGTGCAAGTGAACTTGTTAATCCACTTCAATTTCACTCCTTTTAAAATTAGGAGAATATGTTAACAAATTAATTAGTTAAGTTATTGTTTTAACAAGTACCATATTTGTCCGAAATCCTTGTTAGATACTCTTACTGTTCAAATATATAAAATATTTTTAATTAAATTTTACTCCTCAGTAAAATAATTACTTATCTTTAAATTAACACAATCTTTCTATATTTACCCATTATTAATAAGTTTTTTATTCTAAAATAATTATAAAGTAATTTGTTTAATATGAGTACTCTTAAAAAAATGTATTGATTATAATTTAAAATATTAAAAATATCATATATTTTTTAATACCCAATCCTTTAAAAAATGGCTTGCATTTTTTACGAAGAGAGTGTTAAATCTCTTCAAAGGTTCTTCATTAATATTCTACCTTTAAAATTCCTATTATTCTTGTTCAAGTTTCTGGTCATTTTCTTACTACGGATAACAAGAATTTTCCATTTACAAGAAAAACTAATCTTTGTAAGTGTTTCTAAACCTAGAGACATCTCTCGACCTTAGAGAGTTACTGAAACCCACCTTACCTAAACTTTTTTATACAAATCTTTTTAAAATTATTGACAGGATAAATGATAGATCACTTAATGAAGGGTTGAGATTCATTATTACTCATATCAACTTGAGCTGATAATAGTAAATACGGTTAATTCTTAAATTTTCAAAAATCATGTGAATATTATCTCTTTAGATTTTTTTAGCCCACATTAACTCCTTAGATTTTAAATCACAAAATAATCCCTTTAACATATCCTAGTTCTATATTAGCGAAACAACAAAATTGTTGAATTAAGAAAAGATTATCTATGTTAAAAATAAAAAAAATTACATTTTTGTACGATCTAAAACTCAAAAGGATTTTCTGGCAAGAAAAAAACTCAAAAGGATTCTACCAGTTATTCTTGACCCAATGGTTATTGTTATATATGCGGTTCTCCATGCTTGAAGGACCATAAATTCCAACAATGGAAAGACAACTTTTAGACTTTCCGGGCCATGTATAGTGGATCCTTATCTTCAATTCTATAATCTCAAATTTAGACATGACCTACCTTTGTACATTCAATTCTAGGTAATTACCTCATATTTGTTCCAAATCATCACCAATATTAATATTCAACATCTTATATAAAATTTCTTCTTTTTTTTAATCCACAACTCAATATATATTCAAGGAAATTTGGAGACATTATTACCTCCTGCCTAAACTAATTCAGATCGGCATTATGCGGGACTGTTATTGCTAACAGTGATATTATAGGTATCTTGAGAATGCCCTTTAAAATATTCTAACAATATATGATATTTTAAAGACACCCAGGAGACACCCATGAAATTATTGTTGATACTTACAGTCTCATATAATGAGAATTCAAATTAGTCTAAACAAAAGGTGATAATATGCTCAGGTTCTAGGGAATGAAAAAATTACAATGCCAAACAATGCTACCCATACATACATATATTTATATATAGCTACACTAATTTCTAAGTGAGTAGATCGATTTTGTTCAATGACATAAAACAGATTGCACTGAAATTCTCAAAATCATTTTCGTTGTCCCTATTATAGGTTATTTGTATATTTTGAAAGATATATCTAATAAGAAATTAATTAAAAGGGAGGGAGACGGAGAACATTTTGCAACAGAGCGGTGGAGATTGAAAACCCCCCCCGGGGGGGGGGATTGCATGCAATTAATAAAATATTATAAGGATAAGAAAATGGCCCATCTTATCTTTGTGTCTTACACACACACCCCCTTTGAGAAGTCTTAAAGTATAATCAATTCAGAAAATATAAAAATTAAATTCATCATAAAGAATATGTCTAGGACTTAAGATTTGGAACGTGATTTATGGATTTACTTATAATTAATTAATTGAAAAATATGACTTTTAGTTCATGATTTTTTTTTTCAATTATTAATGTGGCTCCTTAACTTTGAAGCAAAATAACTCAATCACTATAATTTATTGACATGAAACAACTCAATTCTTAAAGCATTTTTACTATTAAATATAACTCAATTTCTATAATTTTATAACTGAATAAATTACAAGGACTGCATTGAATGAAATAAGATTTAAGGATTAATTTAGTAGTCGAAAAAAAGTTTAAGGATTAAAAGTTATATTATTTTTTAAATAATTAAATAATCAGTTCGTCTCTCCGTATATAGACATGTGTAATGGAACAAGTGTTTCCATTGTCCATTGCTGTAAAATCAGGCGTAGTGATGATAGGCTGGGACTCTTTCCATATCTTTCGATTTGGGTTCAAATAATTCGAAGCATTGAAGCTATATATACATACTATGCAATAGAAACGACCACACAACGTAAGTTTTTGCTTGAAAATTTAAAGTAAGGAAACTAAACTTGAGGTGACTGAGATGACACCTCAGCTTTCTTGATCCCATTTTCAAAAAACAAAAGAGATACGTATGAGACTCTCTCAATTCCCAACACGCCATTTTTATCCACAATGATGACAATATATATATATATATATATATATATATATATATATAGAAGGAGAAGAGAGAATTTTAATTGGACACATATGTGAGGGTGTCTTCATGAATTGATAAGTATTACTTTGAAGACCTAGCCTTCTTGAAATCTCCCTCTCTCTCCCTGTGTGTGTGTGTGTGTGTGAACGCCAATAACACTACAACAATCATACACACACAGTGGTTCAGCAAAACGACAAAATGCTCAATCACACCGAAGCTCGACATTTTCATTGGTTACAAATTTTTAGATATATATGAGAAATTTGATAATTAATAAAATTAAACATGCATCAACATCTTATTCAAATTTAATGTGTATTTGGTTTCACATTGAAAACTACTAAGATATAAATTCTGGTCAGGTGGAAGCAAGTGTATGGCTTCACATCGGAGCTATATCCAGACTATGATTTTCGTAGTTTTTATCGTAAAACCGAACATGCTATTGTTTATTATGGGTGACTTGGTGAAAACTTTAATGTTAATAACAACGAAGACTTGTGAAACCAAAACATGTGTATATACTTCTTTCAGTTTTTATTATAAGGAATTAATATAAGGTATCTGGTGTGATATTAATTACAATTTTTGATATTTTTTTTATTTAAACCCATTAATTATGAAAAAGAATCTAATAAAGTAAATTTAAAAATTTTCATTTAAATATAAGTAAAATAAA